TTGTGGTATATATATTGATATAGTCGTGGTAAAGTTGTTGTGGTAAATATTTTGATATAGCTTGAAATACTTGGACTGTTAACGACATGTTTTCAAACCGTGGCGCAGTTCCATGCTATAGTGACAAACCAGCAGGTTCAACACAAGCGAGAACCACCATGGATATTACCCACATAATCTCAAAATACCCGCCACTTTATCATGCCATTGTACTATATGGATAGGATTGAAATAATCGGTCAATTTGCGACACAATTTTATTTCATCATTCTGAAAATATATATACAAATCGTCGTACGTAGGCCATACTGTAGTGGCAAACCAACAGGCTCAGAGGTAGCGAGAGACAAAATTTTAACCGACACAGCCTCAAAATACAGACCTAATCATCATGTCATTGTACTTAATTGATGGATTTGGAAACATGTGTTCAATTTGCGACACAATTATCATGTTCTTTACCGACATGAATCGGAAATACTCACCAATTCAACAAACTAGTGTACTGTATGGGTATATCATGGAACATAGGGACAATTTGTGACTCAATTTCAACATTCAAAACATAGTGGTGCAAAACGTTGTACATACGCCATGCTGCAGTGACAGATCAGTGGGAGTGCCTTGGACGGTGACGTCTTTGATGTACTTTGCCAAAATATCTAGGTCCACTTTCTCTGCTATGATGAAAAGAAAAAGTCTACAACAATTTTATTACGAGCCCTAAACATACCCTGTGAGCTGTCCTGTGTTGATGAAAAGGAGAAGTTCATAACGTAATCAAAACATTGTATTATGATACGAACCTCAATATAATTTATGAGCTATTCTGTGTTGATGAGAAAGAGAAGCCCACAGTATTTAAAAGTACGATTCTTGATAAAATTTGCAAGTATAATTGAATGCACACAATCTTGCGTGGTTCAAGCGAAGTATACCCCACGAAATTGAACAAAACACAGGAAACAAAAAGCAGTTGGCATGGACCTGAACGTTCCTTTACAGAAAATAGCAGGGCATCTCTCTGCTTCGTTAGAAAGAACAATCTCAATAAAAATTGGTATACACACAGAGGAATGTAGTTTCGGATGTAGAAAGATAAATTCAGGATTCAAAGCCCTGCGACATGTTGGCTGACTCACCAACTATGTGCTGGGATTTATACACATATATACACTTGTATATCAATTATCATGTGTGCACAGTACAGCTAGCCTCAAGCGTACTCAAGCAGTATAGCTGTATACATTACATGTAGTACGAAGTACATACACATACGCATACTTCTGATACCTTGTGCACAATTATTTGCACAAGCTTTTGAAATCAGTTGGCGTGTCCACAGGAGCGCGAATATCTACTTTCTACGCAACTCCGCGTCATGATGCATTTTCCACCCCCTGTCCATTTCAGTACAGACTTAACCAATATAACTATACCGTGTACTCGCAATTACTATACATATAATTTAAATAGATATTCATTCTTCCTCACTTACCGGAATCAACTCCCGTGTCCACAGGAGATTCAAAAGTTTCCATCTATTTCCTGCCTTATCCTACTCGACAATATGTGGCACACTCTGTAAACATATACAAATGGTACGTTGGACACCAACAGGCATGTACACAAACCTGTATGACATCATCGTATACGCACATGTATATAACCTGATCTCATCAATATACACCCTTGCATACGTACCGCAACCAGCTCCCGTGTCCACAGGAGGTCTAAATGCTTCCATCTGCCTTCTGCCCTCCATAGCCTTGATCTTCCACGCCTACATACATTTTCATGAACACGATAAGATGTTAAACTGGTCAGATTGTATGTATGTGCATGGCATAGACCGTTGTAGCCCAGCAGTGGCATCCTATCGGCCTACACGCAAGCATGACGTTTCATGACTTCCAGGCCTGAATCAGGGCCTACATAACATGGCATGCCTCAGAACAAAATTTTCAAATAAGTTGTGAAATTTGTTGGGGGTTGATATTTGAAGGTTAACAACCCCCTCAAAGCACTTAAACGTTATACTCGTATCTAGAACAATTAACTATTTAAAACCTTAACAGTCTGAAAATATGACACTAAATTCAACAGAGCCCATCTGACACTACATCTATCGCTTTAATGCTTTGACAAGTCCTCTTCAACGCCAATAAACAGACAGAAGCGCACGTGAATATAAGCTTACAGCAGCATAAGGCTACATGTCATCTATTACTTCTATCATATGACCAATCCTTTACAACAAACATGACCAAAAACAAGCGCTCGTGAATATAAGCTTACAACAGCATAAAGATAGTTGCAGCGAAAGTCACGATCTAGTCCAATAGTGTCTTAGTCTCGTATTATATTGTATGCGTAGGCTTATGATTTGCCAGTC